ATTGGGCTAAGTGGAGCCTAAGTGGAGTTCTGTGGGCTCTAAGTGTGCTCTCTAGGTCTCACGGCAACCAGCAGTGGCAGCCATCTGCAGCTGCTTAGGAAGCAGCGGATCAAGTAAGCAAACCTAGTCTCCCACTGCATCAGGCCATTGCGATGGCTCTGCTCAGTTCCTTCCCCAGATTCAATGCCTATGGTTTAGAATGCATTTTTGGCTAATGGTGGACGATCACAGACATGGTGAGCTCCTTAACATCTAACAAACTCACTCATACGTGGGTGGGGCCAGAGCCAGAGAAATAATTATTTATGACTCTTACTATGTCACCTTCTTCATGTCCTTTCCTCCAACTGGAATGTCCAGGAAAATATGGATTATACTTCTTATATCATTTATGCAATAAATACTTATTAAATACTTCCTAAATTCATGGTGATTCGATTGGCACTGAAGGAGAGAGCAGGAACTTAGTCTGGGTTTGGAGGAGTAAGACATGCATGCAAACAACACAGTATATGAATATGTGGCATAAGCCCCACAGACAATACACATCAGAAGAGGAGGTGACCCTGTAGCAGTGTCTTGACACACCCAAGTCCTGTTCAAATCCCATTTTCTTGAAGAAACATCATCTTCCTACCTCTTCTCTTTTTTCTCCTCTTCCTTTTTTCTGTTCCAAATCACAACCCCCATTAATGTTTGGGCTTCAGAAACCAAGACAGGGTCCACAGACACTGGCTGAGTCCACTGTTGGCTTGAGAGGCCTAGACAGGGAAGTCTTGGCTTGGGAAAGACATGCTTCTTCCCCTCAGGCCCCATCTACCTGGCCAACTCCTGCACGTCTTTTGTGGCTCATCTTAAGCACTGCCTCCTCTGTGAGTCCTTCCCTGACTTCTTAGACAAGACAAACTTTTTTAGACCTAGACAAACTTTTTTGGGGTAGGGGTGGAGAATGTATTTATCAGCAATATAATTATTAAAAAACAAAAACAAATATCCTTTATTATCCTGCAGATTTCTTAGTGGTTATGCCTCCCCAACAGCCTCTGTTTCTCTTTTCTCCCGCTCTTCTCCATCATAGCCTATCTCTTCTCTCTCCTGCTATAGAATCCCTCGGAGAGGATGATGAGGGATGATCAGAGCGTCAGGGTAGAGAAAAGAATAATGTGCTTAGTGAAAGTGATTTTCAGCCTCACAAACAGTGGGTACATGGCTGGAAATGGTGGGGGATGGGAACAGGACAGGCACATCACTCAGAAGAGACCTAGGTGTCGCACGTTATACATACTTCCATCACAGCACTTAGCACTTTACTACATGAGTTTATTGACTGCCCCGTTCCAACTGAGTGGTCTTCACATTCAATCCAACTCATAAATAGACGTAGAAAGATCTGGAGACACCTTGCCTATCCAGGTACTCAGAACTCTAAATCAGGGACGTCCCTTTGAGTTGGTCACTTTGTCCAATGTTTTGAAGTTAAATCCTTGTACATTTGCTCTCCATTCTCCAGCTTCTCAATGCTACAGTTTTGAGCAACCCAAGCTACTATTGGGGGGATGTGAGGTATTAGGAAGCTCTCTTGTAAACTTAACCATCTGCACAATCGAGTGGGTCCTGATGAAATGCTTACATTACCCACCTCCCCCTGGGGTTTGATATGTTGTTGACAAAAGAAGATAGCCCCAGGCTTACATCAAATCATCATGCATGTCTGTTATATCTGGGGAGAAAGTCTTGATGACTTGACCTTTATCTGTGGGAGAAAGACAAACACGCGGGAAAACTTATTCCTCCTGTCTGTTCATTTATACCATCAGCTGTTTATTTATTGAGCACTCACGCTGTGAGAAGCACTGTGACAGGTGCTGGGAATAAAAGAGTGAAAGATGTGGTACCTGTTCTCAAAGTCTGTGAGACTAAATTGCCTCTCTGATTGTGGTGACCGTCTAGGCCAGGGGTCAGTAAACTTTTTCTGTAAAGGTCCAGATAGTAAATATTTTAGATTTTGTGGGCCATAAGGTCACTATTGCAACTACCCAACTCTGCGTTGTAGCACGAAAGCAACCACAGGTAATTCATAAACAAATGAGTGTGGCTGTGTTCCAATAAAACTCTATTTATGGATACTGAAATGTGAATTCATGTAATTTCCATGTATCATATAATGTTATTCTTCTTTTGATTTTTTTCCAACCATTCTTAGCCACCATTGTAGCAACCATTCTTAGCTTGCGGACTGTATAAAAACAGGCCGTGGGCTGGATTTGGCTCACAAACCATAGATTGTCCACCCCTGACCTAGGAGGTGCTCACTGACAGTTTAGATCTGTGATCCCTAAGTCTGGCTCCTGTTCAACCAAAGCAGAGATCCCATCAGCATCGCAGGAGGGATTCTTGTCTTTGCTCCCCTCCTACTGCTATCAATCTCCTGCCGCCAAACCCCAACTCCACAGGTCTTTCTACAAAACAGAAATCCTTTTGTGAATTTATGGTACTACTGGGGACATCTGGGGACTTGTTTTCCTGTGAGAAAATGAAAATGACTCTAGTGACTATTTGGTCTCTGAAATAGTTTTAGTTTTTTTCTTTTTTCATTTTCCCTATCTCCATACTAAAAATTAACATAAAAATTCCTTCTGGCTAAATTCCCAATACATTTTCACAGTGAGCATTTTCTGAAGCGAAAATTAGTAGCTTCCTTGCAGTTTTCATCAGGCATGTGAAATTGTGCAGCTCACAGGGGTGGAGAACTCAAACCCCATTTATGAATTAATACATGCTACTGAGGGTGCCTCGCTGTCTGCTGAGTGCCAGGGATTCTTTTCTACAGAATCCTGAGTATCTAAGTAGTGTATTTTAATTTCCTTTCTCATTTCATGAGTGAGAGAATACCATTCTCTATTTGCACAAATGAATTAATATGTAACAACTACAACCTATATTAGATTATATTATTTACACCATTCTTAGGGGTTGGCAGCACTTGGGCAAATTATAATGTCTCTCTCTGGTGCCTCCTCCCTCCCTCCCTCCCAATTTTTATCCAGGTGAAATCTAGTTACAATGAGCATTAGGGACACCCTCAATGGGAACAAGTCAGTGGGGGTAGACAGAAAGGGGGCAGAAATGGCAGGTCCCATTTATGGCTGCACAATGATTAGCTATCTATAGGGCTTCCTCGTTTATGCATAAGATGCCACCTTCACACATCACGTCTTCCTTCTTTGACAACCTCTGCCTCTTTCGGGCTCTAGCCATCTGGTCCCCAAAGCAGCCTTGAGCTCAGTCTCAGGATCTAAGCTATTGAGCTAAAACCCTATTTTTTCCCCCTACTGGGATGGCTCTGGTCTTTCAGGTCAGAAAATTCCGATAGTATATATAATATGACTTCTGCAGCAATTCACAAGAGTTACGGGAAAAGAAACGTTGTAATTGTTAAAAACACTTGTGGGCTTTGGAATCAGACAGACTTGGATTTGAATCCTGGTTTTTCCGCTTAGGAGTTATTATAGACCTCAAGCAAAATAATTACTTCTCTGCGTGTTTGTTTAGATAGCTATGAAATGGAGGAGAAAACTTACCTCATAGAGGAGAGATGAGGATTAAATGAGATAATAAACCATCAGTAAGTGCTCAATAAAAGGCTGAGGAGAGGATTTAGTAAGAACTCAATAAAATGCTACCACTTTTAAAGAAGTTTTTTTTCTTTTTTCCTTCATTTATACTCAAACATTTGTTGAACTGCTGTTTGCTTCTGAGAATAGAGAAAAATTAAATAGATGTACAACATGAAATAGAGGAGTTCACGTTCAAGTAGAAAAGGCAGCCATAGACCAGTAAGTGCAGCACAGGTGGACAGTGTAATACCGAAGTATGTCCAGAGTGGGGGCCCCAGACATGGGAATCATCAACACACCTGGGGCATCAAAGAAGGTAGTATTCAACCTAAATATTGAAGGATGAATAGAAGTTTGTCAGGTAGACAAGGGTGGAAGTATGTTCCCATTAGAGGGACAGAATTCAGTGTAACAGAAGTGGAGAAAGTGGTCACAGGTACCACTGATGAAGGATGCTGGGGACAGATGACGAAGGGCCTTGAATGTCACTCGAAGGAGACTGGCCTCTGACATGGGCCTTCATGGTGTATGGGAAAGCAGAATGCCATAAATGAGGTGAGGCCCTTCCCCCTGTAAGTGTGGCTGAGCTCGAATAGAGATCCATGTAGAGCTCAGTCACCTCGGATGTGTCCAACTCGTCACTTATACGTGAAGAACTTGAGGCCAGAGATCAAGTCACCTGGCAGAAACCCTGACAAAGCAAGAATAGGACTAGGAATAGGTCCTCTGAATCCAGTGCCCTAAACGTCGTCCCCACCAAGGCTTTCTCATTTAAACCTAGGCTTCTTCATCTAAGCCCTGCATTCTACCCACTGGATTCAAACACAAGCACAATTTCAGCATGCTTTACTGGTAGCTCCGTCTTTCCCACCTTCTGAAGGTCAGAACCGTCAGCCCTGCCTGCTGGGGGTCGAGATGTCAGCTAGGAACAAGGTTGGGGTTTTCCAAGGGGCACATGAACCAAGTGCAATGCCTTGAAGATGCAGAAACAAAATCAAAATCCAAAGCAGATTGAAAAAGACATCTTTCTTTCCCTTGAACTGGCAATCTAAGGGCTGTTGTACAACTGGGAACCCATGCGTCACACTGTAGCTGCTCCCTGCTCCTGTTAGCTTACGCTGAGCCGCCATCCAGCCCTTCTTCCCCAGGGCCTAGCAGGAAGCACACAGCTTCAACAGGTGTGTGTGTACGCGTGTTTGTCTGTTTTCATTTTACAGGTGCCTGGGGAACCCGCGCCCCAAGCAACAGAGCAGGGGCCCAGAAAAAAGGCTGGAAGCTTCGCTTCGCTTTCAGCTTCCCCAGGCTCCGTTCCAGCAGCGCCTGGACTTTTCCAGAACCCCTGCGCTTGATTCCCTCCTCTCTTAGCAACCGGGAGGCTGTGGATACCGCCAGCGGGTGGGGGCCCGGAGGCTGCGGGAGCCCGGGAGCTCAGGGGCGGCGGCGGCCCAGCCCAGGTGCCTGGCGCACAGGCGAGCGCAGTGCGGAGCCACCCCGCGAGCGCGACGGTCGTGGCGCCGGCGTGCACGGGGCCCCACGCGCCCACCCTCCGCACCTGCCGCGGGGTCCAAAAGGGATCCTGCAAAAATGAGCTATTCTCACCCCACTGGGTAAGTGACCACTGGGGCCGTTCCACGCCGCGGCAGGTGGCGGCTCCAGCCAGCCCCTCCTCCTCCCTCCTGCTGCGGAGGGAAGGGGCGAGAGGGGGAGCGAGGGGCGGGGTGGGGGTCTGGTGAGAGGAAAGAAATAATACGGATTCTGCGTTGCAGCGAGGATGGCAGAAATCCCAGGCTTCATATCTCCTCCCTCCCCTTCCTCGCTTCTTTCACCGACGTTCGCCACTTGTGAAATTTTCACTCTGGAAGGATTAAAAAACGGATGTGAAAAACGCATACATTAAGCAGGACGTTAGCTGGGATCAAGAGCATCCTGTGGTGTGGAACAAATGTGTTTAAATGCAAAAGCAGAGGTCACGAAAATATGTGTTGGTTTGGAGATTTGGGACTGAAATAAATTCTCATTGTGGCGACTTGCATACAAAGAAGGTGTGAGTTGATTTCAAGTTGAGGGAGGTTTCCTTGTGAGGGGGGTCCCTTATTTCAGGATTGTTAATCTGCCTAATCTCAAAAGGATCATGGGGTCCTTTAAAAATATTTTGACCAGGGAAGGTGGCGTGACACAGCAAAGGAAAGAGAGATGGAAGGAGTTGTGTGCCTGTGTGTTTACACCTGATCTCCCCGTTGCTTTGGGCGGGGTGACACCTCAGAAGACATATTTTGGCAATTATTCAATCTACTGTAGAAAGTTAACATGATCATTATTGGCTCTTGCAAAAAAAAAAGAAAGGTCTTAGTCCTTTCATTGGAAGGGAGAATATCTAATGTCCTTCTGAATTAAACAATGTAATGCATATTAGATGATTTTTTATTATGATACATCTAGTAAGTAGATAATATCCTAGTTGATCTCCCAACTACTTTGAAGATGCTTTCCTTTCAAATTGAATTTATTGCACATTTTCAAGAGCAGCAAATTAGCAGAGGACAACATATTTAAGATCGTTTGGAGTTTGTGATGTCTGAAATACCACATAAGTCGTTGTGCTTCAGATTTATAGTAAAACTTAAAGATTTTATTTTTTAATGAATTCTCTGAGCATAATGACATAAAGGAAAATGTTTGAAAAAACTAAAGGCATATAAGGTATCATGTTGAAAGTGAGTTTCAGAACTTTTTGGAAATTGATGTAGCTATGACTAAACAAGCTTCTTATTTTATCTCAAATTGAATTTAGTTTAGGTACTTCAAGGCTTTGATGCTGAACTCCTGTGCAATTTTAGTTAGCTGGGGGCTGTGTGGGATGTAAATGGCACTATTTTTCTACAGCTGCTGTTTGTAGACTGTCCCCATTCGGGAAAATGAATGTGTCAGTCATGGTTGTCTTCCTATGTTTTTCAAGTTTTTGGCTAAGTTAGAATATGGTTAGACCATTTAATCATCTATTTTAAAATGTGGAAAAACCTCTAGCTGCTTATTAAATTAAGATGTCAGAAACTGAAGTGCAATTGTTCTGAAGCTCCATTAGTTCCAAGCTCATGGAAAAAAGGAAAATTTGTGATCTAGTGCAAGAGGATGCTTCATGGTACTCTTCAAGAAAGATATTAAGATGGCAACAGTAATTTTGCACTAAAATTGTAAGCTCCTGGAGGGTAGGTACCTTATCTCATTCATCTTTGTGCCCCCTGTACCTAGCACAGTGTCCCGCATAAAGTAAAGCTCAACAGATGTTTCTTGAATGAATAGTGATCCAGTCTAGAGGTGGGTGTAGAATTCACATATGAACACCATATTAGAGCTAAACATTTATCTGGTGCTTCCCATGTCTCAGGTTCTAGTCTAATGTTTTACATGGAATACCTCATTTAATCTTCCACCCATTCCATGAGGCAGGTTCTAGTCACCCTTGTTTTCATAGATAAGGAAACTGAGGACTGAGAAGTTTCTAAAGGTCTCACATGTAGGAGGGGTCAGGGCTGGAATGCAAAGAGCCTGTGGGCTTAGCCGCTACACTATATTGCCTCTCGTGCTCAACAGCTGAGATGTGTGGGAGCCCTAAATATATAGAAATTCTTACCCAGATCAGACCAACATCTGACAGGTGATGGCTGTACATAACGATATATATTTTGATATATAATTAGAAAATAATTTTGTAGTAGTGTATATATGTATATATTTTTGTTTTAGTTCATCAAAAATAAATGAAAACAATAAACATAAGTATAACAACTCTAAATGCCTTAAAATTCACTCAAGAACCAAATTATTCAAATTGCTAAAGTTTTCCCTTAATATAAGGAGTGATTATTTTTCTTGCCTACGCTACCATTTGGAAATAATAAAAGTTTCAGTAGCAAATAAAAGGTTTCATTGAAGCTGAGAAAGCTTTTCCATCATTACCGAAGCAGTTTGTACTTATTACATTTTAAGGATAAAGTGGTAATAAAGCGCAGTTGTACAATCAAACAAATTTTAAATCCCTGAAACTCCGCTGATCATAAGGGATGCCCTGATGCTTTCTCTTGCTGCTTGCTTTGGAGTTTGCTGCTTACTTAATTACAGCATGCAACACTTCACGTAAAAATTGCAAAGGGCCTGTGCTGACTTTGTTCGGCTAGAGTTTGGAGTAAATAAAAATGCTCTTAGAAATGTCTGCCAAAGATTATAATAGAGACTTTGAATCGGAGCTGCATTGTAATTTAGGGGAAGTCAACTATACAATACCATTTCTGGCCCCGCCGTCTCGAATGAAATTGTTTTAGAGTGGAAAATTTCAGTTGATAGTCCCTGTGGTTTGCTCCATCTTACCCTGAGTTGCTGTTCATTTGTGTGTGTGTGTGTTTGTGGGTTGTGCACTACTCCTAGAGGAGGATTGGGGATTTTATACCCTCGGTCATGCATGAGGATAAAATGATCGTCTCTTCTGACTCCTTCAAAAGATCACCACTGGATCCGTGTGAAGTCGGCTCCCTGTGTGACATGTGCTGGGCTCTAAGTAGAGATAGTCACACTCGTCTGTAGATTTGCTTTGAGGGCTTGGAGAAATGGGAAGCGTTATAGCTTATGACAAGATAAAAATGCAGAAGATGTTGTATGTTTGGAAACGTTGTTCCAAGGTTTAAAAGCATTTTTTGTTGTTTAGACTTAGCAATTTACACCTTTTAAATGTAAACAAGTATTTCTGTGGTGACAGAGTATACTGCAGTGTGGTATAGAGAGAATTAATGCATCCTTAGTACTCCCGGAAAACTCAGTCCTCCTTCGTCAAAGGCAGAATGGAAGCGGCTGTCAGTAAAATTGTCAATTTTTAGATAGTGGATATGTGTATCCAAAAGTGACAAAAAATTATAAACCCATCATGTCATTTATAATTGGAGTGCCCATTGCGCTTTGTCTCTGCCTCCTTTTTTTGTGATCCAATATGGTGTTTTTAATTTTTTCGAATTGAGATATTATTAACATATAACATTAAATTAGTTTCAGGCGTACAACATAGTGATTTGATATTGTACGTATTGTGAAATGATCACCATAAATATGATCTCACTTATATGTGGAATCTAAACAAACAAACAAGCAAACAAAACTCATTGACGCAGAGAAGAGATTGGTGGTTGCCAGAGTGGGGGGTGGTGAGGGGGTGAGAAAAATGGGGGAAGGTGGTCAAAAGGTACAAACTTCCAGTTAGAAAACAAGCAATTTGTAACTATGGTGGTGTTAGATGTTAACTAGACTTGCTGTGGTGTCTCTGCCTTCTTAGTTAGCAAATAAGTGCAGTACTTTGTATGGCTGTAGTAGCATTCTAGTCTGTTGCTCACCACTTACTTCTACCTTCAAAATTATCTCTGTCACACAGAATTTCAGACTTGAAGTCATTAAATATTTGAATTCAAATTGGGTAGCTTCTATTCACCGTCCTGTTAAATATTAACAACTTAACTTCAAGGAGTAAATTGTTTCTGGTTAAAAGAGGTGAATTGAATGCGCTCATTTGTCTTGACTTCCTCTCTGATAATTTTGTTACCGATTCTGCTCTTTTTTTAGTAGATATGATGTCTTCTCTTATCTTTTTAAAATAAATATGATGTCTTCTCTTATCCCTTCGATTAACAGACCTATTCACATAAGTAGATGAAAATGGAAAGAGATTTGTTATATAACAACACTCATTTCTTTGAATTCCTTCAGAATAATGTGCCAAAAAATCACATAGTGATCTATCACCAAAAAATGTTTTCGATGATCTTTCAAAGGACAGCTCAATTAGGTCCTCCTTCAATCGTGTTGAAAGCAAAGGATTGGAAACTACTTGCAGTCACATTTGTTGCAATCACATGTGTTGTATCAACAACTATACGATTATCCCTTTGTTTCTCAGATGTTTTTATAAGTCCAATGCATCCTAATAAGACACCAGATGGTGAGAGGTGTGCCTTTCTTTTGTAAAAATAGAAAGATGATTATAAAAGGGAGAGTGGGGGGATCAGCATGACTGGAAGTGCATTTCCAGGCAGATGGGTTTTAGAAGAGTACAGAGGACACTTGGTTGTCTAGAAATTGATTCCCCTAAAACTATCCTTGCCTAGGTTCCCCTAGCAGAGTCTTTGGGTATCCCCAGGGTGTGCATATCCCAGTTTATAAACTTCTGGTTTAGAGAACAGGGTGCAGTCAGATGCAGTCTACTGTAGCGTTCCACTTCCTTGCTCCAAGTCTCTGCTGAAGAAAGGCATCTTTAACTGGGAGGAAAAGTGGAGACTTCCCCAACTTATGTTGATTATTAATAAATAAGTAAAAATTTTTCAGGGAGATGAGAAAATAAAACTTCTCTGACCCAATTTCAATTCTAAAATCAGCCTCAAATAAACTGGACCTGGAGTGTTAATGTATTTTTGAGACTTTGAATTTGCAAAGATATCATTTTCAATGAAAACTTCATTTTCTGGAAGATAGTGTTAAAATAATCTTTTAAACTTCAGTTACTAATTTTGGTACAGACCAAGAGAGGCAGTATGCAGATTGAGTTATTGGATCTTTCCCTCCAATGGCTTAC